GAGAGTCTAGCCTCAAACTCAGTGACTGGGCTCGAAAACGGTTTGTTGCCCCTGGGGTCGAGTGTTTTTTGGAAAGGTGTATAGAAGGTGCACGCTTGCTCTTTTCGGCAGTGTGCAGCCGTTTTATGCTTTCGTGTGCAAGAAGAGTGTGTGATCGCCTTTTAGGGCAGGGTGCATAGGGTTTATTCTGTTGTGCGTGTCAGTGCTTGAAATTGTTGCCTACAGTGCCTGCTAGGTATGTCCTGTTGAGGTTCTGATCAATGTTGTTATATTTGGGGGATTGCATTCTGTGAGATTGTATCAATCACTTAAAAAAAAGATGTAGTTGCTCTTTGGCAGTGGTCATAATTTTATTACAAGATTGCATCATCTCTATACCAGGACCCACATACTGTAGGACATCACTTCCCAATTGTTGAACCTTTTTGTTTCACATACGATTTGTGAGAGCTTGGAATAGATTCTTTCATTCTCTGGCCGTCCGGGGGTAATTGGTGCATATAGATCTCTTTTCAGAGACTTCCGTCTATTAACAGATGTGGAAATTTTTAACAGTGAATGCATATAACGTTCAAAAGAATATTGCAGTGCTTTCGAAGTGCCCATTGTGTAATTTTCACAGCCCCGCATGCACGAGCGATTTGCCCCATAATCAAGGCCTGCACCTCTTTTAGTTAGCCTTTTTTTTTTTTTTTTTTCTGAACAACATTAAACAAACAACAAGCAAGAGCGTCTTTGTCACATTTGAATGAAAGCAGAGAAATACATGGACGGGCTGCTCAAAACAGTAACCGCGTCTCATTACCCCTCCCCCATACAAAAAAGCTTGCATACATCGTTCTAATGCTTACACGAGCACAGCCCACAGCCTACCATCTTCCCAGCCCAGCACACCCATGTTTATCACTTCAGAAGAAGAGTAAAGTGTGCTCCTTCCGTACCAACACTGAAAATGGCATGGGTCAAAAGACTGTTTCTCTAACGGTTTATACTCTATCTCGCAACGATCTTCAGTGCCGATAAAGGCTCAAGCACAAGCGCTTGGTGTCGTCATTTCATAATTTGGCTTTTTTGCTGGCAAAGGTGAGTGCGACTCTGCAGAATGTTACTGCAGAATACTGGCTCGCGCCGGTATAGCTTTGGCTGTGGAGCCTGTTGGATGTAAAAAGGTAAATAAGCTGTACGAGGCACTGATCGGCGGCCTTTGGACTGCAGAATGCTTTTTGTGCACGAGAGGCCAGGCAAAAAAGCACATTTAAAAGCCCACGCTCGCACTTATGCCTTTGCCAGCACTGAATACAACTTGTGAGATAAAGTATATATAGGCTCACACACGGGATGTTTCCAATTCAGAGGCATTGCATGTGGCTTTGGTTTACTATACCATAAGTGCAAAGTTAATGCCCGTTTTCTCACATACAAGCAAACCGTTCCAATGTTTGAGGGTTAACAACTGCATTGTTCAAGAGGATCTCCTTATCTGTACAGATGCCGCTGGATGCTGCTGGCATCCTTTTGCAGTTTCCTGATCGAGAATCTATGGAACTACAGATGACCCCCTTTTACCCTGGCCTCCACTGATGCTTTCTTTTTGTTCTAAGTATTATGCAGTCTTAGGTCTCATCAGTACACGCTGAAAGATTTAATATCTGAATGCGATTCTTTTTTTGTAGCCGCTTGCCTTGCTTGCTTTATTTTCTAAACCATTAAAGGTATTGTGGTCAACAACAGCTGCTTGAATATACAGCGCATACGGAATGCAAATAAGCAACTCTCGTGCAAAAATGTGTCAACGCGCATAGACTCGCTGATGGCTCACTAAACGATGTCGGCATATGTTGTAGCGATACACCAAAATTTGCGCCTTTTAATTTACTGTGCTAGATTCGTCACTGCTTAGGTGACCAAGATATGACGGACGAGTGATATCTTGTGGAACCTGATACAAAACCACTAATTACTTCAGCCATCCTCTGTTGTTGTTTCGCAACTCTGATTGGAAAAATTAGGACTGAACACGTAATCTCAATTCCTAATATCAGTTGATACGAGAAGAAAACGAGCAGCACAATTCACAATCATAAGCGCGTATACACACACAGAAATATGCGAGCTCACAAACGCATACATATGCACACACGTATGCAGGCTTGCACATGCACAAGGTTGCACTCATGCACATGCCCGTGCACACATGTGCCTGCCCATGCACATACATATGCACGCGTGCACGCAAGCATGCACGTGCATTCTTCCACGCACCGGCATGCCCACACGTGCACATGTGCACACACCCACAAGCACAAACACAAATGCATGCACACTCACAAGTATGAGCATGCATTACCATGCACATCATGTGCACGCACACAGCACATACACACATGCAGACACACACATGGATGAATCGACGGGCAAAGGCACACGAGCACGAAAACATACACATTTAGTGCAAGTCCATGTGCACGTGCAAGCACGCACATACATGTGTACACACTTGCACATACATGCAGACCTTTTTTGCTGGAAAAGAGCACAAACATCTAGCGCTGTAAAACAACAGGACCCCAACCAATGCGAGCGAACTGCGTAGACTGAAGCTCGCTCTTTTGTGCACCTGCACAGCCTAATTTCTCATCGCCCGCAGCTGCCCAAGCAAAGCCTACAAGCACGCGGTCCTCCAAAGCCGGCAGCCAAAGCCGTCGAAGGCATCCAAGGAGCACGAAATCTACCGCAGAGTCCGAGCCACCGCACGAATGGGTGCAGCGAACAAACGAACAAGCGAGCGGTACACGAAAGAAAAATTGTAGAGCCCTTCCACTTCACATGATGCTGGTCCTCCATCACAAGATGGAGGACCAGCAAAGCTGTTACTTTTACGACATCTAGGACAATGCCTAGAGGACGTCTAGGACGACCTCAAGAACGACTTCTAGGAAGACCACGAGGACGATGCCTAGAGATGCTAACAAGGGATCAGGACCTCACTATCTAATATTGCCAAGGAAGGCTGACTCACGCTGGTTGCCCTCTCTTTATTTTGATTTATTCATACTTGCCACAACCAATGGGGAGTTTTCTGTCAACATCCGCGGACACACTTTTTCCTACATCCCAGCACATAACAGCTTCGCTGTAAAAATAAACCAAACAAGCTAACGCCGGGCTTGTTTCATTTGTCTAACAGCGCAATAGTCATCCTCCTCACGCAACAACCCTAGACAATTCCATTTGCCCATCTATCAGTACACCACACATAAACAGGGTTCCTCATTTTCACGAAAATACATGTTTTTATATAATCAACTAATCCACGCAAAACGCAGAATGGGGGGAAGAGGGGGGAGGTAGGACCTTGCTATGCGATGACCACTCAAACAGGGTTCCTCCAAAGCCTCAAACATTACACGTCTGGGAAAAAAAAAAAATCTCCCTTCAAGCAAAAAAATAATAATAATAATAAGGAAGCAAAACAAGCGGCATCTGCGTCGTTACGGGGCCACGGCGCTCCAGAGTGGCTTGGCTTTGAACGGCAACCCAACCTAACCTAACCTAACCAAAACCAAACCAAACGACAGCTAGCAGCACAGTGAGTTGAACCCGCGTGATATTTGTGAGCCAGTGACATTGACGTCGGTGAAATTTCTGAGTCTGTGATATTTGGTAATGTTGTGCGAGCCAGTGATATCATTGATATTTCTGAATTGGTGATATCATTGATATTTGAGAGTTGATGATATCAGTGATATTTGTGAGTTGGTAATATCGGTGATATTTTCTGACATTTGTGAGTCGGTGATATTTTGCAACATTTCAGTTTCTTCAGTGATATCGATGATATTGTTCATAATGGAAGTCGCAAGGAACGTAAGGGGTTGCGAATTTTTCTATCTTGATAATCCCTGTGATTTGAGTGGCGGTGACTTGAATCTTGATGGATATTGTGATATGACTAGTGGTGACTTTTGGGTCTTGGAGAAATTGGGGATACCATGGTGAATGATTTCTGGAAAACATTTTGTGAATGTGATATCATATCGAGTGACTCCAATACAAAATGCCGACCTGTGGTTTTAAGAGTAGGTTCAAATACCCTACAACTTAGGAGTGCCATGATCACTGACGTGACCAAGCGAGTAGTTTTAAAGCCAGGAATGATATTGGCACAGTTCCTTTTTGATTCAGCATCCCACTTGCAGTAGAGGTTGAGGCCTTGACAACGCACACTGTAATGTCTCGTTAATGTAGACAACTCCACTCCTAAAACAATTGTCCATAATGCGAGTTGTCCATAATAACGAGACAAACATCCATTATTTACCCATTTCGTCCCCCAAAACTTTGTCTATATAGTGGGGGATCTGTATCAACTGTTTTGAATTAAAAGCCTAAAACAAATGTAGGTCTATGCACGTGCAGCGCATAGACCTACATTCCTAGCATTTTCCTTGGTGGTTGGGTAATACACACACAGGCCTGTTACCGCACCTCCAATGCTTCGAGTCGGTTGCTTTACAAGTTCACTGAATGGCCGGCGGCGACGAAGGAATGAGTGGGTTAATGGTGGGACATGGAACGTGTCCCTGACTGTAATGTTCACCGCGTCCAAAAAAGAGGTCCCTCAATTTTTGTCCAGTGACGTCATAAAAGCGTCATGCTGTCACTGGCCGCGATCCTGGTGGTGTCGCAGCAGCAGTGGTGAGTGTGGCGGACGCCCATTCTGCTGCAGGTCGCCCTTCAGCTTGACCGTCCGCGCAAGCTTTGGCAGCCGGAAGAGTTGGAATGCCGCGACGGTGGCAACGCTCGCATCCCCTCTCGCCTTTTTCCAGACCTTCTACGACCAACCACCAGGATCGCGACGTCCGACAGCATGACGCTCTGGCATTTGCAACGTCATTTGTTGCCGCGTCGGGACCACTTTCGACGCACGGGCTGAACGGGACGCCAAACGCACCAGTCACAGACGCGCTCCAAGTACCGTGGAGGGGAGGTGCGCCTACCTGTTGTACTTCTGCCACCTTGATGAAGCGCCCTCTCCTGTTTTGCTTGACGTCCAGGTAGAACCTCTTGGACTGAATCTGCAGCATCTTGGTGGCCAGCTCCTGCTCCCCTTGAGACAGAAGCTGCCCCCCTGCAACACACAACAGACGCAACGCACCGCTTCAGACGAGGGCCGCACCCTCCGTGTTCGAGATCGGAACTGCTACGAGCATCCACACGCTAAAGGGTGGTTCGGACGCATTTGCATCCGAGCACTTACGACGAAAAAATGCACCGGCATGCTGGCGCCATCTATCCACTAGCCTTGGAACTCTTTCAACCTGCGCATATATTTTACCATTTTTTTAGGCATCATTCTTTCACCGTGGGCTCAAAATAACTTTGACGATGTTACAAGTGAACATTTCCCTTAGGTAGATCAAAGACTTGATCTCACAAAGACTGCAAAACCTTCGGTCTTGTACAGCACCGGAAGCGTTTGAGTGCTATTTGCACGCTGGTGCCACCCCGTCTCAACTCAGTGCAACGCGTCGTATTGAAATGGGAGGAGTCATAACGCAGCCGGCCACAGTCAAATGTGGATGTCCGAGCCAACCTTAAGAACTCGCTCGGTCTCATATCACTCTCGGACGGGAATATCAGAGTCGTTCGGCCCAAAGGCAGACAAAGGATCGGCGACCGGCAACGGGCACAGGCCAACAAGGATGCGCAGAGTCAAGTTGCGAGCTGATTCGCCTATCGCCCGAAAACTATTGTATGATTAAACATTTCTTCATCTTTCCCACATCAACTGACACATAAATATATTTCCAAACAGCTATTCGATGTAGCGGTTACTGGTGCCAATGTCAAATCCAGACACATTCATTGGATTGCTGCTATCTGTTCCAAAGCATGTAAGAAAGAAAATGCTATAAATAACTTCTGCTGTTCGCAGCCTTTTTAATTAATATGCGTTTCCTTTACTTTTTACCTGATTTGGTTGCTTGTTGTTCCCACTTCTGTCTATAATGTCCATACCCCTGAGGGTATTAAAATAAATAAGTAAAATAAGTACACGCTACTTGCATATAGTTATCTTGCAAATTTATTACACAGATGAGCTCAAATTTATGAAAAAGAAATGCAAAGTACTTTTAATGTTTCCACATACAAAGATTGCTATGTTCGGTTTTCTGTTTCCACTACAGCCATTAAATTCGTCAAAGTTAACAGACACATCATCACCAGAAAAAAATGGGAGCGTCAACAGCTCGACTCAGAGGTATGAATCAGTTAAAGGCTGATTCTCATTCTGAATAAAAATATTAAAATATTAAGTGTTTAAATTTCTTAGGAGGAAAGTTTACATGATCGTGAATTTGTCCCTCTGTAAAAAATAAACTGAAGTTTAAGCGTAGGCTAGCACTAAATGTTGCCGTTGTAAAGAAATATTAAACAATATAAAAATCAAGAGAAGAATAACACCCGGCTCGCTGACTTTCTCTTTAAGTAATAGACGGATGACTACCAAAATGGTTGAAGATTTTGTCAACAAAGCTTGTTGTGGGAGCAGAACATGGAGCCACTTTGTTTCACCTAAGTGATGATCACCTATAAAATTCCCAGAAAGTGGGTGTATGTGGTACAGTGCCATCGTTCCACTAATTTCTATGTAAATATGGTACCGATCAGTTTTGCATTAAAGGAAAATCCTTGTTTAATGCAGTTGCAATCTTCACATTTCTTCTCACTCATTTAAACATCTTTCTGCAACTCCAAGATAGTTCCAAGGAGCCCACAAAATTTTGTATAATACAGGCTGAAAATCAAACTTGCCAGCAGCTTCCATCTCCATCTAGAAAAATAAAAATACTGCCTTAAATATCCCACCAAACTCGGACTAAACATGAGCTGACACGTACCCCTATTTTTACTCAGCTCAGAATTGCCTGCCCATAACTGCCATATTTTCCCAGTCTACATAACTACCATATTGTTCCTGTCTATTAGCCCCACCTTTGTACAAGTCACACACCCCTATAAATAGGCATTTTCACACACACAAAAAAAAGTTAGTAGATAAGTTGCTTTTTTGCATAACTTACACTTATACAGGGTGCTTTATTTTTTTTTTTTTTTTTTTAGGGTTTACAGAGTGTTAGGTTCAAAGACCTCTTGGTATGTGTTTTGTTTTTTGTTTGCTTTTGGACAGGGTTAAAGGAAAGCAGGATTTTGCAATGTTTATGGCTATGGCAAGCTTATGGCTTTGGGAGTAAAAGGAGTCTCAGGGCAGGGCAGTTCAGATTGAGGGGTCCCCAACTTCCTCAGGTTCCCCACTTCCCCAGCTAGCTGGAACAGACAAGATGACGGGGAGAGAACCACCAAGGAAATGTGTGGAGGGACACTTTCCCTACACAGTGCGGAATTCAAAGGAGAGTATTCCAGAAAACTTGGGGTGGAGGTGGGATGAAGGAGGGAGTCTAGGCTGAGCATCCCAGGGGGCAGGATCCTACCTACCCCTCTGACTCGCGAGTCTGACTCGGAGAGGTGTGGCCGGTGTGGCGGTGTGGCTCCATAAAATTTGAAACTAAGTTTAAATATAGTATGTAAATAAACTGCATATATATACTACTATTCACAGGGCATCCCTGTGTTCTACGATCTCAGTCAGATCTCTGTCGGCCAAGGCGCAATCTGAGTTGCCATCATCCCATCTGCGGCAACCCCACAACAAAAACTTTCAGCCTTTCCACTCTGGTGAAGAGGGAAGACCAACGAACCGGAACTATGGTGGGAATGAAGTAATGGCCGGCCGCAAGTCCGCAAGCCAGAGTGGAAAAGCTCAAAAAGTTGCCGTCATCTATGAGCGACGGTGGCAACCAGACAACCGGCAAGCCGGTTGTCTGGTTGCCGCTGTTGTTATTAGATGGCGGTAGCTGTCCAGAGTTTTGTGTCGAGATTGGTTTGCCCACAGACACGATACTAGGGAAACTAGTCCTTAACAGCTCCGCTGTAAAACTTGACTCTGAGTGTTTTTGAAAATGTTGTCAGAGCCACACAAATGTGTCTGTACGGGTGAGTTATGCGGCCTGGGGGACATAATATAGGGGGCTAACCCTATATTATGTCGGTTAATAACTAAAATCGGTTAATAACTAAAATTTGGAAACAAGCTTAATAAACTTTTTAATTAGAGAAGATAAACATATGGTTCCAATTACAAAACTAGTCAATTTTTGAAAGACTTGGAACGCGTGGGAAGCGCAACAGTGCGTTAAAGTTACCATTCGTGCGAATGACGGAAAGCAATAAATGTGAAAACGCACTCCCGCAATTTCTTTTTTTTTTAATAATTATTTGTGTTTCTGCATCGCCAGCTTTCCACCTGTTGCACAAGTGGTTACTTTAGCGCATTACCGTGCTTTCGATGATATTCAGCAAGTTTATAATGGAACCCGTATGTTTACTTTCACTAATTAAAACAATAATTAACAAATTTTAGTTAATAATTTTACTTATCATGACAATTAGCCACCTATATTATGTCCCCCTGGCCGTAAACATTCACCTGCACAGACATCATTAGTGTAGCTTTCTCGGCAGGCACGTAGCCAGGATTTTGATTCGGGGAAGGGGCTCGCCCATGACAAAATGCTGTGTGAGGGAGAAAGGGGAGAGGAGGCCCCAGCAAAGTGGAAGATTTCAGGGGAAGGGAAGGGAGGGGGGGGGGGGGGGGGGGGGCCGGGCCGGGCCCCATGGGCCCCCCCCCCCCCCCCCCCCCCCCTGGCTATGTGCCTTGTTCATGGCTTTTTTTTTTTTTTTAACAAATATGTAATGTCTAAAAAAACACCCTGTGTATTTGCACGATCGGCGAAGCAAAACTACATTGACAAGCCCGCAGATGTGTACTGTGATTGTGACATGCGTGCAAACGGGAGCCAGGTTTCAATATTCTCGTCAACTAATCGAACTAGGGATATGACCACCCCAGTAAATTTGATTGGTTAAGATAGAAAAAAAAATTTGGGCAGGACCAACTATGTTGTTTAATTAAGCGATTGGCTGCAGACATAACTGAAAGAGCTGCGACAAGTCACGTATCAATTTTCCAGCTACTTTTAGCGGGTAAACTGAATTTCTGTATAGGTCTAGTGGCATCAAGATGCATGTGACATCATTTTCTCCGCTAAATTTAGTGGGAAAACTGAATTGTGTTGAGGCCATGTGATGTCAATTTTCCCATTAAATCTAGCGGGAAAACTGAATTTGTATAGGTCAAATGACATCAAGTCATGTGACATCTATAATTTTTTCACTAAATTTAGCAGGGAAAATAAATGGCCAGAAACAAACCTCAAAGTGGCCTGAATATCCTAAGAAAACTAATCACTTTAAAAGGCATACAAGCCATCGTGTAAGACGCACCGACATCAATTTCAGGGTAAAAAAAGTTACTTATAGATCGGAAAATATGGTACTTAATTAAAATGAGACCGAGACATTCCCACTGAGTCCCAACAAATTTCATTCCAATCATATACAGCAAACCCATGCTAACTCAGATCCAGTCACGACGTGCACTTGGACTGCCCCGCCTAGTGAAGCGTCCGACGTCTGTCGTGACAATGTCGGAGCTCGGAGGGTCCAAAGTTGTCTATGACTCGCTCACATTTCCTTGGGAAGTTGCACTGCGCATCACTCCAGCAATTACGACCCTACTCCTCGCTAGTGCTTTTTCAGTCCTTCCTATCCCAGCACTCCTTCCTGCCACACACTATATACTTTAACAAGATCCTACGGAGCACACAGATCCAGATTTAAGAGTATTTTAGAAGAGGGGCAGCGGTGGCGCAATGTCGTGCCTGGGCTCCGATTCTGGTCAAAGAACAAGCGAGAGGGTTCCGGGCTGCTGGTCGAACGTAGCGCCGCAGCCTCTGCATAATCAGTCGATCAGACATTTCTGGTCTAAAATGCTGAGCAGTATTTTTGGAGAGAACATCTCCCCAATGTACAAATAGGAAAAGAGGTCCCTTGGCCTTCGATTAACTTGTCCTTAGTACTCCTTCAACCGCCGATCAATGTTGGCTTGTGTACGGCAACAGAACAACTTGAGGTTTGCGAATGAAGCGTGAATGGTCGACGGCTTCA